AGGTACAAGACTGTATAGAAATCACTGCAATCCTCGCGCTTCCTCAGTGATGTCTCACAGCTCATGCAGCTTCCAAGCTAACAGCTGAGAAAGTTTGATTTCCGCAGAGCTATGGCTTTCGTGATGTTGCTGCTCCATGTTACTTGACTTCCAACTAATCCTTTTCCTCATGTCTTACCAGGATATACTGGTATTGACAGAACCAGCGGAAGTCATCCAACCACTTCCATCTTTACTTTCAGCGAAAGAGCGACAGTTTTCTTCCAAATATTGTCGATGGGGCATTCGTGCCAACGATGGTTTCGCACATTGAGACATGGCAAGCTATGGAAAAGTTGCACGATGAAGGAAAGCTCAAGGTACGCAGTTATGACTGTTAAACAAAATTATAAAAGATTTCAGTTCTTCTTCATAGCGCAGTGAAGTTACACTAAAAGAGACCTAGGCACAGTAGAAAAGGTAGAGCTGGAATACACAGTACCAACCGGGTGCCCTTTTGCTATTATAGGCCATCAAGACCAAAATTCTCAGGACGAACTCCCAAAACTTGACTTCTTCTGTAGTAAAGGATAAAGGTTAACGTTTCGCTATTGCCGAGCTTTTGCACCACGAAAATTGGGTCGCTCATGATTCTTACGCGTTTTACCTTGCAAAGGGCAGGAGGTGGTGTAGTGACAAGTGGCGCGCTCACCACTCGCGCGGTCCTGGGTTCAAATCCCGGGTCGACTTCCCGCCTAGGCCAACCAAGCCTTCTACCCTCCTGGGACAGTAATTGGTACGGCAGCGTTCAGACTTCGCGACGGCAGCGCTTCGGTCGCGCGTTCGACGCGATCGATGCGCATGCTTTCAACTGCATCGATCGCGTCGAACGCTACCGTCACGAAGTCTGAACGCTGCCTACCAGATTCGCCTGGGAGGATAATAACACTGACTTGTACATCGGCTGGCCCCCGCAAGTCATTGTATAGGCCACATCGCATTCAATAAGCCACTACGATTTTGAATGGAGT